CAAATCGGGGAGCATGAGCGCCTACGAGATGCGGATGGCGCTGGAGGCGGCAGGTAGCGCCTGGCCCCGGCCGTTAACGCCGGCTTCGTTAACGCCGCCCCCGCTAGCGCTACAGCAGTCCCGGTAATTACTCGTTTTACCCCAAAAAGGCTACAAGCTGAACAAAAAGCTGCACGAGCTGATCATCACGCGCTACGCGGAGCCCGACCTGGCCCTGGACTTCGACAGCTTCGTCTGCTGCCTGGTGCGCCTGGAGACCATGTTCCGTGAGTCGCCCCCGCCCGGAGAAACGGGGCAGAACGGAGCGAAAAGGGATTTTGTTCTCCCGGTGGGATTCTGGGGAAAAGGCGGAAAAGCCGCACAGAAGGGCGAGGAGGGAAAACCCCGCGGCGTTGGGAGGAAAAAGGGGAAAATTTAGGGCAAAAGGTTGGAGAACGCCCATTTTGTTTTCCCTGTTAAATCCCATTTTCCGACTTTGCCCATCAAACCCTGCTGCTTTTTTGGATTTTTTTAAGAGAAAAGTTTGGTTTTGCCAACGTTTCGCCTTCGACCATGCTGGGTTTTCCGACTTTTCTCCTCAAATCCTGCTTTTTGGGGTGCTGTTTTTCCCTAAATCCCGCAGTTTTTCCCCGTAACTCCTGTTGGGTTTTTCCAGAATTCAGCTTTTCCACAGAACTGAGGGGAAGCTGGAGAAACCGCCCCAGGCTTTCACGGAAAAGAGGGCGGGTTCCCACTTCCCCCCCTAAATTCTGTGTTTTTTCTGACTTTTCCCCTTAAATCCTGGTTTTTTCCCCCCAATTTTTCCCTTTAAATCCTGCCCCATTTTTCAAATTTTTCCCCTTAAATCCTGCCCTGTTTTTCCAACTTTTCCCCTTAAATCCTGCTGGGTTTTCCCAATCTTTCCCCTTCAATTCTTCCACATTTTTCTAATTTTTCCCCTTAAATCCTGCTGCTTTTTTCCCAACTTTTCCCCTTAAATCCTTCCACATTTTTCTCATTTTTCCCCTCAAATCCTGCCCTTTATTCCCATTTTTTTCCCCTTTAATCCTGTTGGATTTTCCCCATTTTTTCCCTTAAATCCTGCCCTGTTTTTCTAACTTTTCCCCTTAAATCCTGCCCTGTTTTTCTAATTTTCACCCTTAAATCCCACTGCTTTTTTTCCCATTTTTCCGCTTAAATCCTGATGGTTTTCTTCCCCCTAAATCGCTTCACATTTTTCTAATTTTCCCCCTTAAACACTCCTGATTTTTCCCAACTTTCCTCTTAAATGCTGCTCTGTTTTCCCAACTTTTCCCCCTAAATCCCCCCACATTTTCCTCATTTTTCCCCTCAAATCCTGCCCTGTTTATTCCCATTTTTCCCCTATAAATCCTGTTGGATTTTCCCCATTTTTTCTCTTAAATCCTGCCCTGTTTCTTCCAGATTTTTCCCCTTTAATCCTCTTTTTCCCCATTTTCCCCCTTAAATCCCGCCCCGTTTCTTCCCCATTTCTCCCTGAAATCCTGTCGGTTTACCCCATTTTCCCCCTGAAATCCCACTGTTTTCCCCCAATTTCCCCCCCTGAACCCGGCCCCATCCCCCATTCCCCCCCCCATTTCCCGCCGTTCCCTCCCGGCAGGGTTTTTCCAAGCCGTGGACATGGAGCCTCATCTGCCCATGGCACTGCTCGCACAGAGGCACAGAGACTGGGGCTGCTTGCTTGTCTTGCCCCCTCAAACTTCAAACGTATCTTAGGTGGTCCGTGCCGGGCGCTTCCGGAAAGAAACAGCCCCCTCCTCGCCTTGGCACGGCTGGTCTGGGGCAGTTCTCACGCTTTTGGGGGCAATTTTCACAGATTTGAGGGAATTCTCACAGGTTTGGGGGGAATTTCAGAGTTTTGTGGGAATTCTCACCGGTTTGAGGGGAATTTCCACAGGTCTGAGGGAATTCTCACAGATTTGAGGGGAATTTTCACAGGTTTGAGGGGAATTTTCATGCATTTGAGGGAATTCTCAGTTTTGTGGGAGTATTCTCACACTTTTGAGGGAAATTGTGACAGATATGAGGGGAAATGTCAGATTTGAGGGGAAGTCTCAGGGATTTTGGGGGAATTCTCACACATTTGAGGAGAATTCTCAGATTTGAGGGAATTCTCACAGATTTGGGGGGAATTGTCACAGATTTGGGGGGAATTGTCACAGATTTGGGGGGAATTGTCACAGATTGAGGAAACTCAGGTTTGAAAGGAATTCTCACAAATTTGAGGAAATTCTCACAGGTTTGAGGGGAATTCTCAGATTTTGAGGGAACTCTCGCAGATTTTGAGGGGAACTCTCGCAGTTTTGGTGCCTCTTCCTACCGAGGGAGCCCCCGGTGGGGGTGACACCGGTTCTCAGCAGATTTCTGGGCCCCCTCGACGCGGCTGCCATCGCCTCTCGCTTTTTCTCCAGTGCCTCAGTCAGAGATCTTCTGCCTACCGGGTGCCACAATTTTTTTAATTGTATAAATTAAAAATAAGTGGGGAAAAAAACCCCCCACAAGAACCGTTATTAAAATCTAAGCTTTTTTTCTTGTCAGTCTTTCCCCCTCCCCATCCAGCCTCCAGCTTTGCCTCAGGGCGGATTCCACCAGCCCGAGGGGGCTCAAGGCGATGCCGGTACCACCCGGGTGCTAAAAACCCAGAGCTAATGCGTATTTAGAGGTTACTTATGGGGTTATAAATAGGTATTTTGAGGTTTTTTTGAATTGTTCTGAATAAAAACAGGTGGTGGGAGGGTGGGATGAGGTGTGAGGGGACCCCCGGGACGAGACGCTGGGGCTGGATGCCTCCTCACCAGGGGCGAGTCCTGCCGGTGCCCCCGGAGCCGGGAACGACCCCTCCGGGGC